CCCCTTTCATTCTTTTTCTTTCCCCCTCTAGCTGTATTACCGCCATGGCTGGCTATCGCCCACATCACCATTTCATTGGCTAGTGCCACGTGATTGTGAATAAATAAAATAAAATAAAATAAAATACTTCTATCGATTTCATTCTCACCAAATATAACCTGTATACTTTCTTTCGCCGTGTAAACTTGAAGCTGTTTGTGTTTGTTTTTAGGTGTCTATCTCGTTGCACCAGTCCTCTTTTAAGCACGATATTTACCCCCCGCTCTGCATCATGCCGCACAAATGCTGCTACCCGCGGTCAAGCTTCAGCTGCTCTGAACCTACCCAGAGCTACGTCTCGTTACGGCCTGAATGCTATTTCATTTTTGGCAGCAGACAGATGGAACATGCTTCCACCTGGATGTCGTCAACCTAAGCCCCTTTCTGCATTTGTCACAAGCACCAAGTCATTCCTAGGGTTCCCAGTAAAAAGGCAACGCCTGTTGGGAGTTCCCTAGTAAAATAATAAATTCTACTACTACTACTACTACTCCTCTTTGAACTACATATTTCGATATTTGCAACAGGACTAAAATCGATGGAGTTACGACAGTTTTACGGTACGTACACAATATCAGTCGTTAATGACTGATGCACCGCAAAGGGTTAAAACAACACAAGCCAGGAGGTAGCCATCACAGAATTAGTCTTCAAGCTCTGCTGTAGAGTGCACTGAATACATGCATGTGCATACTCTACATTTGTACATCACTACAGGTAGTTCCAGATGTTACTGAAGTAACGCCTTTAGTAGAGATGATACGGTTACCCTTTAAGGGTTACAAGCGGATACCTGGCTTAACGGACGGGTTATCGGGTACCCTTTAGCAGACAATAGTAATAGTTGCTATACAATAGCCTTTCGCATTTCGTACCAGGAGTACATGCAAAGTAATGCAATTCACAGGAAGAACACTGCATTGCAACAAGCGCAGGATATAGTTATACACACTTACTGCGTAACATGCAAAACAGTCAAAAATTGTCATAAGTAGCAGGATCGAAAAACCAATATCACGTTAAAACTTTACATCGTATTGTACGGCTATACAAGCCAGCTATTAATACCACACTGTACCGTTGTACACGACTAACGGGTAATCGTTTGCTAATGAATCAGCAGCCAAACAGACAGGTACCCAGATCACCCCTTTCATCCTTAGCCTTTAGCATAGGTACGGGACTAATAGTTTATTCCCGTTGCTATGCAGAAGACGTTACTTCAGTAACGCTAGCCAGGGTCCACACAGCTTTAGTTTGGTATTTATGTGTTTGTTTGTTTGTTTGTGTGTTTGTGTCACGCCTGGCGCTATCCCGTATCTGTCCCGTACCGTACCATCAAACACAGCTAGCCACATACAGCTGGCCGCAATATTCAAATAGGGCTTTCAAACGCAATATCATAACGTGAAGCAACTTGGAAGAATGGGTATTAATGCGAAGTGTATGGGGGAATGCATGTAGGGTGATAGTGCGGGTTCGAATCCCAGGCTATGCCTGAAAAAAAATAGGAGAATTGAAAAATTTATAACATCCCTATGCTTTTTTTGCCGTCATCAAGGCTTAGACGGTGTCGTATTACCCTCGATCGTACCTGTCCCGTACCTATCCCGTACCGTATCGTACCATTAAAGACGGCAGGCCAAAATGCATATTCAAATAGGGCTTTCAAATGCAAGATCATAACGTGAAGCAACTTGGAAGAATTAGTATGTATGCGAAGTGTATCGGGGGGTGCATGCAGGGCGCGTGATAGTGCGCATTCGAATCCCAGGTTATGTCTTAAAAAAAGTATTTGTTAAAAGAATTTATAACATCCCTATGCTTTTTTTGTCTAGGTCATCAAGGCAAAAAAGCATAGCGTAGGGCCCTGAGCTTCCAAGCTCTATCGTTGCTGCTCTTTGCACATACCTTTGGGCTGTTTCTGTTGCGACACTCTTGCCATCGCTCTTTTCAATTACGTTATCGACTGTTTTTAGTGTTAGTTCAGCTACCTATGAACAGATAATGAATACAAGGCATTATTAAAATAAATTTTAATCGATTTTAATTCTCAGACATTAGCGAGGGCTGGAGCAGTACAGCTTAGCCCCGCAATCATCCCAGAAGGCGAGGACCATCACCCCCTCACACCAGAATTGATCGTGTTGAAAATAGCCAATTTACAAGCGCTGACAAAGCAGCCAGCTACGCCCTAAATTGGCAAGAACTATACACCGGCAGATAGTAGAACACCCCTTCTAGCACTGAGGACATGTGTCCCATGGTTGGTTGGTTTTGTTTCTATTTTCTCATTTTATTGGCGCAACAGTGCAAAGTGTGAATAGACATCCTTAGCAAAAGTACGATAACGCTAACTTTTACGGTACTCACTCCCAGCCGTGACAAAAGACGTTATCGGATACCGGAAAACGTTACAGAGCTCAAAATAACGGGCCGACGTTTGTTATGGTAATTCTGCAAAAACTCGCATTGTTTTGTAACTGGCGGGAGATAAATAGCACGTGCATATCGAGATGAGAGTCGAGATTGTCTCTTGTGACATTTAGCTTTTTTGGCGAGTTTTGCCTTTCAGTTGACAATGTCTGTGTCTCTCTGCTTCGTGCCTTTCTCCCTCTATCCCATCTGGGAAGCAAAGAGCCAGTTCCACGGCGCTTCTGAGAAAGAAATTCATCGGCCTCTCCCAGACGTGCTAGAGCTGGAGAACACTTACAGTCTTCGGTGCTGCGTTTAGGAAAGGTTTTCCAAGGACCTGGGAACAGCGAAAACTCATTTTCGCGTGCTTTTGCTCTTCCAGAGTAAAATACCTCGCCAAGGTATTCTTTCGGAACGACAGCAAACTTATCCCTGGTTCAAAATTTTGAATTTCCCTCACCTGTTTCCACGACAATTCGTATCGCCATGGTTATCACGACTACTTAGTCTCAACTATAACGTACATTGTGGTAAGGGAAAAGCCAGCTTGAACGATCCGAAGTACGGATAAGTTTGCGTTTACGTTAGCGTTTTTTAGCTAAGGATATCTAATATCAAGAGAAACGAACGAATAGAGAAAGTAAAAGAGAGCAGAAAGGAAGATGCAAGTGGAGGAAAAGAAAAACGGAGGAGTGTGGACAGGGGGATTCATGAACCATAACATTGTATTAGAGCGGGGCAAGACAAGAACAGAAGGGGCAAGTCCGTTGATATTCATGTAATTCCAAGCCTTATTTTATTGGTGAATTACATTTTTAAAAATGGAGAGGATAATAAGGATAATCCTTCATTCTTTTCCTTTCCATAACGTTTTCAAGGGGTTTGCACAATCCATCTTCACCCTAAAGGGAACCTACCTGCAAATTGTGAACGAAATCGGAGACTTCGACTTGCACACATACTTTGGTATTATCAGATATGCTCTTTTATGGAGTCCGAATATGGAAGAGCAGCATCTTGTGGCCTGAACTGAGAATGCCGAAATCGGCTGACTAAGCGCTTTGATCTCAAGTATTAACATCAGGTGTGCACAAGTGTTGGGTTTGCAACACAATAATTGTATTACTAGATAGGTTTCGCAGAACAAACGTTCACAATGATTTTTGCGTTCCGGGTTTCGAAACCTAATTCCGAACCTTGGCGCTAAAATTGTGCTTTGCATGTTTTTCGCTCCAAGAAAATTTCGCGTGCACTCGCGCTTGTTTGAGAAGTTACTAAAGTAACACCAGTTACCTGCTGTGCTCTGCTTTCTTCAACTTTATTGGTACCTCTCCGGCCACGATATGTGAGAAATCTTAGAGGTAAGGCGTAGATTTAAGAGAATCGGTAAAAAGGTGAGAATTCTGAGACCATCGAGTTTGCGTGCTTTCAACACTCCGCCCAGGACATTGTTTATCCTTATACAAGATAACAGGGAGGTTTTCCAGAGCGAACTTTCACAGCTTTGAACGCGAAAGTTGGAGGAAACGCGAAACAAACTTTCGCAGTGCTTTTCGCGCATCGCGGACCGGTGGCGCACGGTGTGAGCCACCCTCAATCCTCATTTTGTGCTTGATCTGTACTCTCGGTAACATCTACGATGCCTTTTTTGAATTACAAGTGTTGATGCACCATATTACGGTACAAGCCAACCCGTTTGTCTGTGGGTCTCCGGAGGTGGACAACGTAGTGAAAGAGCTCTCGTCTGAGGCGGTGACTCAGAGTGCCGCCACTGGTTACAAACAAATAATCGGAAGAAGATCATGTATAGTTACCACACAGCAGCCAGAAAGCTTTGCGTTGGTTAAGCTCGGAGCGGCCAACAATTGAAGTTGTGGTCTCTCCGCACAACATTCCTTCTTAAACTTAGAATTGCGCATCTCGAGCCTGCAGTTCAACACCAGCAACCTCTATCCGAAAATGACTGGTTTCTTCTAAGAGAATACATCTTCGACGTACTGGGAACAACGGAAGTGCGCAAGCTGACGTACTTCGTGATGAGTTTCAGCTGTCGGGCAATCAAGCGCTATCGGCGAAGGCTACATCCAGGCGAAAACTGCTTGTTCCAGCGAGCGCTATCACGTGAGATGACCGATTCTGCCAACTGCTGGTTTATGAAAATGCCTCTCTCGCACAATATAAATGATGAAGTATCATGAAGCGTTGTCTGCAGATGCAAATTTGTCCATGCCGTACATGAATCGCTGTGCCAGGGCAACATCTAATACGAACATGTACTTGATGTAGAAATGCGGAGAAGATGATAGGTGAATTTGTTCCGTTTCTGGGCATCGAAATGTTCAACTTCTTACCACATATTATAGGCCCACCTTGAAAGATTCCTGTTCCATGGCTGAAGCTATTGATTTGCGACCGCCTCTTGCTGACATGTCAAACCATTCTGCGCCGCTTGTTACACCCGCCCTTGTATCTCAAGCCTGGCTTAGGGACCTTGAGCCAGTTGCTTGACAGGTACTGCACACGTACTGCAACAGTGGAGCCTACGCATGAATCCGGACAAAACAGAACGCACGACTCTCTTCAGAAGAGCAGATCACATTGAGGAGGAATGGCGTATGACACGGAAACTTCGTTCGCTACTGGGGGACTGTGAGGACGTCGCCCGCAGGAAGCAACTGGTAGCAGTAGCATTTGCATCCTTTTGGTCACTCTGGAAGAGAGGATCCATCATCAGCGAGAAGCGGAGAATGAGATTGTACAAGGCGCTTGTACTTCCTATTCTCCTGTATCACTCTTGCACTTGGGCACTGACCAAGTCCGCACTGGATCAGCTGGATGCGTTTCATCGGCAGCAGCTCAGATCGCTGATCCAAGTAAAATGGCCGCAGAAAATCTCCAATGTGGCCCTTCTCCAGCGTTCCGGCGTAGAGCCTCTGAGCCGTGATGTGAAGAGGGCGAGGTGGCGTTTGTTGGGCCACATTCGTCGTTTGCCAGATGAGTGTCCAGCAAGAATGGCAATAGAGTACTACTTCAAAGACAAGGATGCCAAGAAATGGAGGGCCGACCCCGCAACACTATCCAGTCGTTTCTCTCAGCTGATCTGAAGATATCCGGCAATGGTCAACTCCATAACTTGCACTACCTACATCGCCTGCACCAGATTACGCAGGACCGCGGCAGCTGGAAGGAGTTGTGCAGTGCCCTGTAGTGCAAGGCCTATGCGTGCTTCAATGTGGTTCTGCCCGTAACTACATTCTCATACCATCTACAGTCAGAAGATTAACTATTACAGGAACAAACGGAATTATTACATGCACAGCACTATTCAGTGCTTTTTCCACGTGCAGGACTATTTAGTCACCGCCTTGCGTGCAGTCTTTACCCTTGTCACACCGTGTGTATATATTTGGAACCTATTCTTTATCACGTAGCTCAATATCATGAAATCATTATCCCCTTACTTTAATCTATCTGCATGAGTGAACCTGTCGGTGGACCTAATAGGATCCACCGACTTGAACGCCGCAGTGCTTAATACTACTACTTCTAATAATAATAATAATGACTTGGGGCTGCCCGCGTGCTAGAGTGTATGTGAAGTTTGTGGGTACAGTGAGGGCTGCGTCCCACCCACCTGTGTGAATTCACAGGAAGTGTGAGTTACGAAGTCTGAAGAAAATGTTGAACAGTCTATGCTGGGATGACGACTACACCATAGCTCAGTGGTTAGAGCATCGCTAGCTACAAGCGAGGGTCCCTGGTTCGAGTCCTGGTGGTGACAGTCAATTTTTCTTCAGACTTTTCCCGTTTGTCTCTTTCCCTCAAACTAGTGAAGATTTTATGACTTGAGGCTCCCCGCGTGCTAGAGTGTACGTGAAGTGTGGGGGTACAGTGAGGGCTGCGTCCCACCCGCCTGTGTGGATTCACAGGAAGTGTGCGTTACGAAGTCTGAAGAAAATGTTGAACAGTCTATGCTGGGATGACGACTACACCATAGCTCAGTGGTAAGAGCATCGCTGGCTACAAGCGAGGGTCCCTGGTTCGAGTCTTGGTGGTGACAGTCAATTTTTTCTTCAGACTTTTCCCATTTGTCTCTTTCCCTCAAACTAGTGAAGATTTTATGACTTGGGACTCCCCGCGTGCTAGAGTGTACGTGAAGTGTGTGGGTACAGTGAGGGCTGCGTCCCACCCGCCTATGTGGATTCACAGGAAGTGTGCGTTACGAAGTCTGAAGAAAATGTTGAATAGTCTATGCTGGGATGACGACTACATTGGTTAGAGCATCGCTAGCTACAAGCGAGGTTCCCTGGTTCGAGTCCTTGTGGTGACCGTCAATTTTCTTCAGACTTTTCCCGTTTGTCTCTTTCCCTCAAACTAGTGAAAATAATAATAATAATAATAATGTAGAAGAGAAAAGGACATATGGATACGAGTTAAGAGTTAACTCTGCATCACTTTAACATAATACTATATGCAGTCAGAAAGTGCAATAACTAGGCACAAAACTGACAGAGTACTGAGACATTCGACGTCCTTACACTGCTGCTTCGAATTGTCCTTAGACCGCTTTGTCAAATATCGTACTGGTCTCGTCATCCACCAGTAACAATCGACATTCTTTGTTCCGTTGGGACTGTAGCTTTTGCTCGTTTTCGCTGCGCTTGCCTTCCCCTCTTTGGTATTTCCATAACCTTGAACCTTCTAAGTTGGAAGGCTGTCGGTTAGCGCTACGGAGATGTGTTGAAGCTAGGTGTCAGGACGTCGAATGTCTCAGTACTCTGTCAGTTTTGTGCCTAGTTATTGCACTTTCTGACTGCATATAGTATCCAGTTACAGTGATGGAGAGTTACTCTTAACTCGTATCCATATGTCCTTTTCTCTTCTACATTTATTTATGGCTCAACATCCGAGTTTCAAATAATAATAATAATAATAATTTTTAAAAGAGGTCGGAGGCGGATGATACTTTAAAAACGAAGGTAAGTTTTGGGTCGCAACCATCCAGGCAAACACACATCCAGTCACAGTAAGGCACTTGTAAAAAGTATCTGAAGCAGGTTTTGAGTTTTGTGTTGTGCTGAACTTGACCATTTTCCACCTTGTCACGAGTGTTGTTATCTCATTATGTTTACGCTATACAAGTTTTAGTTTTTCTGACTTGAGCCATTCCCTGTATAATCCTTGATGAGAAGGGACAGAAAACGTTCGGATACTTTTGAGAAGTGCCTTATTGTGACTGGATGTATCTTTGCGTGGATACTTGCGACCCAAAACTTACCTTCGTTTTTAAAATTAATAAAAATAATAATAAGGATGGCGTAACTCCTCTGTAGCCTTGTCATGATTTCTTATTTTCTTTCACCGCCCACGGCCGCACAAAGTCCTTGGCTACAACAAAAAATTAAAGTCTCTCTGGAAAGGAGTTTGAAGTTTGGTTTTGAGAGATTTGGAGAGACTTTAATTTTTTGTTGTAGCCAAGGACTTTGTGCGGCCGTGGGCGGTGAAAGAAAATTAGAAAAATAATAATAATTTTTAAAAGAGATCGGAGGCGTATACTAATTTAAAACGAAGGTAAGTTATGGGTCGCAAGTATCCACGCAAACACACATCCAGTCACAATAAGGCACTTGTCAAAAGTATCTGAACGTTTTCGGTCCCTTCTCGTCAAGAATTATACAGGGAATGGCTCAAGTTGGAAAGACTAAAACTTATATAGAGCAAAGATAATGAGATAACAACACTCGTGACAAGGTGGGAAATTATCAAGTTCAGCACGACCCAAAACTCGAAGGAAAAGAATAATAATGACAATAACATAGTCACAGTGACTGGCCGTGCATACTACACACAGTTGCGCTCGGTGAAATCCGGCCCGAAGTGCATAACTGGCGCCCAGTACTGATGCGGCCCTTGACGCCCTCAAAGTTGTACAAGTGCTAGTGTGCGCGTGTGCCGTATGAACTGTGCATGTGCTGTACTCATACGCATGCACACCAAAGTGTAAAAAAAATGCGCCAAACAAAGACAAGTGTAACATTCATTTCAGTTCAGCAGAAGTAAAGAAGGTGGAGATCGTTTCGAAGCAGTTTATTTCATACACAGAACAGCAGGGCTTCAATATTTTGTGTGGCCACCGTCAGCTTCGATTAGGGCTTCAACACGACGTGACATTGACTCCACGTATGGGGAAACCGTGTCAGGACCCAACGAGTCCCACTCCAGGTGCAGTACCTACACCAGCTGGTCGGCATTCTCGCAGCGATGTGGAATTATTCTCTTCTTCAGAAGAGCCCACACATTCTCGATTGGATTCATGTCCCGCGAGCAGGGAGGTTGAAACAGGATGTTGCCTTGTTGGGTACTCCGCTATCGAGAAGATCCTGCTGTGCTTGAGTGAAGTGAATGAAAGAAATTTTGAACTGTTTTTAGCATGCAACACGTACACGTGCACTCCGAACTTTTACACGAAGTGCGTACAGTTGAGTTCATACACACAAATCGCCAGTGATGTAATGGGAGCTGGCTTCGCGGCGCCGGCTTTGCATTTCGGGCCAGATTTCACCGAGCGCAACTGTACATGTGGTCTGTCTGTACAGTGTGTACACTGTACAGTCAACCAGGCCGCATGTACCATGTACTGCAGTTGCAAAGCTGCCTAGCGCCTGTAGCAACCGCCGTTGCTACAGCTCGTCCTGTACACCGTACATACTCCAAGTGCATGCAAGCATTTTACAGCTACATGTACGTAGATCTACGTGTACAAATGCCGGCCAACTGGACTAAAAAGCGCTCAAAAATTCGGTTGTCCCTCTTTGGGAACAAAATCGGTCAGTTTGTCGGACAGGCGATCAAAAATCGGACGATTTCCGAAAAATCGGAGCAAGTGGCAGCCCTGATAGTGTTACATTGTTAACACCTCGACGAGGAGTAACACCAAACAATTGTAGCGACACCACATTTTCTTTCTGCACGCAAAGTTCAGGATCTAACTTACGGATATACAAGGCTTCTAACACAGCCAAATGCAACGCACATCTACCACGTGACAATATTGAGAAAACATCATCACTGTACAACTCACGATCATTTCACATCTGGCTTGCATAATACTGGCAACTCACACCGATCAAGAGCAGTACGTGGCATGCGGCCTCTATTTTCCTAAAACTTTGAAATTCTCCGTGAAGTCCAAATTTGAAATTGCAATTTGTTTTTGCTCCCAGTGGACATAGTTTGATGCGCTCCCCATGATATCAAGCGAGTGGTCGAGGGCCCTCTTGATGTGATTTGCCAGTATGATGCAAGCCAGATGTGGATTGATCGAAGAAGGATAGATTTACCATCAATGTGGATAAGAGTCATACTGTAGCTCAGTTGGTTAGAGCATTGTTCGCGAATAGCAAGGTCCCTGGTTCGAGTCCCGGTGGTGTGACTGATGATTTTTTCTTTCTTTCATATCAGGCTTGCAAGTTTTTGAGTTTCGGAGAGAAAAGAGCAGTACGTGGCATGTGGCCTCTAATTTCCTAAAATTATTATTATTATTATCATTGCATCATCATCTCGTTGCAAGCAATGCCAATATTGAATGAGAGAGGGGTGATGGCCATGGGCCTCTTGTTGTGCTAAGTGGCTGGTTAATGGCGGCAGATCCTGCCAGAAGGCGCAGGCAACATCAGTGTACGTGTTCAACGGGCATGGCAGCGTGGTGTGGCTGTGTGCGACGGGCTGGCAGGACAGTGATTGCTTCAGGGGCGTCTGGGTCTGCCGCGTCGGCCAGTTCGCTCCACAGTTCATTCCCCGTCACGTCACTATGGGACAAGTACAGTCAGCCGCAGTATCTTTGTTTTTGTGCCACATGCAATAACTAACTTTTCTGGTGTTAGACTGACTGCTGTTTTTGAGAGACTGGCCGCCACTTCTTAACTGCAGCTGAAGCTGGCGTGGGGCAGAATATGAGGTGGCGATAGTATCGGGCAGTAGCTGGGTGAAATCTACAGAGTCACCCTTCAATATTTTCTATCGTATAGTCTGGGGAACGGAGAGATTACCAGCGTTGGAAGACTCCGCTGAAGGTTGAGTTCCAGATCCAGGGGCAGTGATGGTG